TTTTTTTAGCGATTCGACGTGTTTTGTGAACAATTTAATTTTAATTTAATACAAATTTATGAAATAAAATGAAGTGCTTTGTGATTGGGTGCAACAACTCATACGAAAGGGACAAGTCCGTGCGTTTGTTTAGTCTCCCAAGAGACGTAAGTCTGCGTGAAAAGTGGGTAAACTTTTGTGGTCAGAACGTTGGCCAACATGCAAAAATTTGCAGCGACCACTTCCTCCCCGAAGATTTTGTCAACCTTTTAAAGGTTCAAATGGGTAAGTTACCACTTTGTTTAAAAAGATGTCCGAATAACTGGGCTGAATTCAGGACTAGTGAAACACCTCATACTTAAAAAGGGGGCTGTGCCAAGCCTACGCAAAGGCAGCTTCAACAAACTAAACCTCTTGGTGGAAGCTGCAAAGACAATCGAAGCAACTGAGGAGCAGAGAAATGTGGTTGCGCTGGAAAGAGTGCCGTTGGTTGAAGTTGCTGTCGACAACGGAAACCGCTCCAACAAACTCAACTTGTTGCTGGAAGCTGCCAAAAGAATCGAAGCAACTCAGGACCAGGAAAATGCGTTTGTGTCGGAAAGAGCGCCGTTGGTTGAAGTCGACAACAGAGCAAGTCGCAGCACTAAAACGCTATTGGAACGAAAAATGTAAGTAAATATGTACGTACTTTTAAACCTGGCACATATATAATTACTTAAAACGATTATATATTTTTAGAAGCGCTCTTAAACGTGATGCAGAAGAGGCACAAAGGAAGCTGGAGCAAAAAATGTGAGTATATATAAAGCAGTGATATTGATAACGCAAGTAAAATAATTCTTTTGTCCCCAGTCAAGCGATAGACTGTGAAAATGTTCGGCTACAAACCTGCGCTAAAAAGAGGTTGGAGGATAATAGTGCATTGAAGCTGCAACTGTGAGGAGAATGTAGGTAAAATTAGTATACGTTCAATAATTTATTTCCATTTCCGAAGTGAGTCAGTAACACGCGAGAATGTCGTTTTACGGGAGAATGAAAAAAAATTGCAAAAGACCATATCTGCCCTACAAGAGCGCATTCGAGGTGCTGAGTTTGAGCAAAAAAATATGGACGAAAAACTCTCTGCAATATTCACTCCTGGCCAAATAAAAAAATAAAACGTGGTAGCAAGCGTATCAAGTGGGCCGAAGAAGATATATCACGCTCGATAACCCTCTACTCCACGAGCGCAAAAATGTACAGAGTGTTAAAAAAGAAGGGTTTTCCGTTACCTGCAGTGAGCACGCTGCAATGGTGGGCAAAGAAGCTCGACATAACCACAGGTATCATCGGGCCTGTAATGAAAATTTTGTCGGCTGCATCTCAGCTGGATGTCGTGCAAAAAATATGCGTACTCAGCTTCGACGAAATGAAGATTCGGAAAGCATATTGTTATGATAAATGTTCTGACACTACGTATGCTCCAGTAGATTATGTGCTAGTAGCTATGCTGCGAGGTATATTTTTATTTATGCAACATATTAAATTAAACCTACTTAAGAAAATGGCACTAAAACTAAAATTTTGTATAGGTTTGGTTTCTAAATGGAAGCAGCCGGTCTTCTACGATTTTGATTGTAGAATGACAGTGGAAATACTGCACAGCATCATAAGCTCCGTGAAAGCATGCGGATATCATATTGCGGCTGTAGTAAGCGACCTAGGCGGATCAAACAGGGCACTATTTAATGAGCTTGGTGTACAAATCGACACTCCGTGGTGAGTAATAATGGAATCCTTCATCTATATATTAGTAAATAAAAATTCTAAATTTTTAGATTCATTTACGATGACGTCCGCATATATGTATTTGCAGATGCACCTCATCTAATGAAACTCCTGCGCAACCACTATATTGATAGTGGTTTACTCATAAAAGGTAAAGAAGTTAAAAAAGACACTATCGTTGAGTTGCTCTCGTGCACTGCAGCTGAATTATCTATAACGCATAAAATAAGTATGGCCCACCTCACTGTCGTTGGCCCTCAGAGGCAAAAAGTAAAAATGGCGACGAAACTTTTCTCCCACACCGTTGCGCAAGCCATTACACGAGCTGCTAGCCTTGGCTACCTCGGTGGACATAATTGGGAGGAGTGTCATACCATATTTAAATTGGTAATTAAGTTTTGATAACGACTATCATACATATTTACGGAATAATATTCTAATTTTTCAGGCAAACGATTGGTTCGACGTTATGAACGTTAGAGTTCCGTATGCAGACGCAAGGAAGCGTGTCCAAGCCTATGGACTAGCTCTTGAGGTTCAGGACGGAATACTCAACCAAATGACAGAAATGATGAAGGAAATGCGGGTAAAAAACAAAATGAGTATGTTACCTTTTCAAAAAGGTAATTTAAAAATCATACACCAAGCAACTTATATAAGTAGTTTTTTATATAATCCGAATTTACTTAACAGGAATAGTTCAGTCAAATTTAGCGTTAAAGCTGCTGTACGAGGACATTAAGAGTAGGTTCGGCCTGAAATATATTTTAACGTATAGGTTGAACCAGGACGTACTGGAAAACTTTTTCGGTGTTGTTCGTTCCAAGGGAGGCTTGAACGACCATCCTGATCGTCAACAGTTTAAGTATCGCCTGCGGTCTTATATTCTTGGCTTCAACG